TTCCCCAGCCAGAGTTATACACTGATGAATAGCATGAATTTTTATGCTAAGAGAAGGAAAAAGAAGGCTGGGAGGCAAACGATGCAGCAGAATCATCTTGGAAAATGGAGGATTATTACTGGATCTAGTTTACCAATGGGCAAAGAAAGGGCATGTTTGTTAAAGCCTGATTGGCCTGTGATTTTCAACAATTCCTCCCTCCTACTGAAGCCCCATGCATCATATCTGTATTGTTGGGGAAAAAAACAGGGGAGCAAGATTCAGGATCTAAGGTCTGAGCAATAGTTGACAAGGTTCATCAGATGATACAATATGAATAGGTGTTGAAATAACTCAGTCACCCGGACAAACGAACAGAAGTTGAACCCATGCTTAGATTCTCCAAGCAGCAAACAGGAGAATATGTCTTTTGGGTTCATTCTTGAAGATGCATGGGGGAAACCACAGCATGATGGTGCTGAAAGTAGCACAAGAGAGGAATTTACTTTATCTACATAGTATTTGTTTCTCAGCTTCTCTCTAGATTATAAATTTTTGCTGAGGACTTGGCAGTTAAATTACAAGCTATGTCCTTGGAAGCAGTCATGACCTTTGGATTTCAAAATAACTGATAGCTTAAAGCTTCAAACATGAGAAATGATTCCAAAAGTAGAATAAGTAAATGAGGCACTGAGGCCAAGCATTGGAGTAAGTGATACATGCAAAAGTTATCAGAGCATACAAAAAGCCCTGTTGAAAATAATTCCTTCTGTCTTATTTTGTTAAGTTTTTTGGCTACAGCAACAAGAATCAATCAGATAAAGAAGCAAGTAAGGGAAAGTGAGCTACCTCACTGAAGTGAAGAACTATCTGTCTCACAATAATTAAATGTAAAAGATATATACATCACACAATTACATAAAAAGAAATACAAGTAACCTGAGATAGAAGAAAAATGGTGAGAGGAGGGAAGATAAAAGAATGTGCTTAAATGTTGGATATTTTTTAAAATGCTACTGATGTGATAATACTTATAAGAAACTGGATGGAGCTCAGACAACTAATAGTGATATGCCACCCTTCCCCGCCACCTGTGGGTACATAGATATATGAAAGCCATGTGGGTACATAGGTATATGAAAGCCAGTTTGGTGTAGTAATTAAGGGTTAACCAGAAAACCATGAGTTCTAGGCCACACTTTAGGCATGAAGCCAACTTGATACATTGGGCCAGGGCCTTTCTCTCTCAGCCTAGGAAGGAGGCAATAGCAAACCACTTCCAAAAAATCTTACAAACAAAACTTCAGGGATTAGTCCAGGCAATTGTCAAGAATCAACATTGACTCAAAAGCAAGGAAGCAAACAAACCAACATAGGTAAATAGATATGGCACATCTGTTTTTAGTTGAATTAGGAGCAACACTAAACTAAAATCTTTATTATAGCCTTTGGTCCAGAAAGCAGATATTAGATATCGGTATTAGAAAATAGATATTAATTAACAAATGATATTTCAGAAAAGTCCAGTAAGCCAATGATGAACAAATGCAAATCTGCTGAAATATATTTTACTGCTAAGCTAATTTAGGAAGCGCAAATCAGGCTGTGGGACATGAATAGTTAGTTTGTCTTCCAAGTAAAGGCAGTGACAAAGGGGCTGCCACTTATTTCACCATCTCATGATATAGGGCTAACCTGCCCTGAATATGACCTTTCAATATTCAAAGCAGATAGATCTCAATAAGTCCACAAACAGCAAGAATGAAGAATTAGATTTGTAGCTGTATTAATTGTATTCCTTCAATGAACAGTTCCACTATTTTAGAGGAAAGTTAAACAACTCAATGGATTTATTTTTCAGTAGACATATATAGAATGATATTTTTATTAAAGGGTTTCTGCATGTTTTGTGGGCTTCTTCAAGCCTAAACACACTAGGTTTTCCCCTATGCTCTTGTTTTTACCTTTTGACTTATCTACAGTCCCATCGGCATTCAACAATGGGATTTATTGTTAATGACAGTAATGCTGATTTCTGAATTTAAAATCAATCAGGAAGTACTACAATGCTATCTGTGATATATGATGTGCCCACCTTCAGACTTTGGTTAATACATTCTAGCTCCATTCCAAAAATAATATTTTAAAACTAATTAAGATCCAGAAGAAAGTTTTCAGTAAAGAAGGAGGGGGGAAAAAGCAAAAAAGTGAATGAAGAAATTATATAGCAATTTTAGATTATCAGATTAGGAAAAACAACAGGAATATTTTAACAAAAGCACATATCTAAGTAATTGCACGAAGATAGCATGTACAAGTAGTCCTTGACTTATGCCCACAATTGAGCTCAAAATTTCTTTTGTTAAACAAGACAGTTGTTAAGTGAGATTTACTCTATTTTACGATCTTTCTTGGCACAGCTGTTTACTGCAGTTGTTAAGTTAATAGCATGGTTGTTAAGTGACTCTGGTGTCCCCATTGACTTTGCTTGTCAGAAGGTCATAAAAGATGATCACATAACTCCAGGACAGTGCAACTGTCATAAATGCATGCCAGTGTTGATCATGTGACCATGGGGATGCTGCAACTGTCATAAGTGTGAAAAATGATTGTAAGTTATTAATGTCAGTGCCTTTATAAGTTCAAAAAATCATTAAACAAATGGTTGTAAATCAAGGACTACCTATGGTTATCAGTTTAGATGACTATAAACAAAGGTTAAAAAGTTTGATAGACATTAAATATGTCAAAAGCTATAAGTAGAAAAATCTATGAATTTAGCCTCATGTTGAAGGACTTGGAATTACCAGAAATGTGTTTTAATCTTCAAGGAATGGCTATTATCTTCACAGTCTTTTTGCAAGCTTTTAAGCACTGTTTGACTGGCCAAATTATATTATGTCAAATATAATCTTTATTAAAGTAGTCAGATTACAGACACAGAGGCCTCTGCCTCTTTCCCCCAAAAGATTTATCTCTAAAAACATATTAAATATTTTTATTTGGTGGTTTGTTCATGCTATCATGAATGTAAATGCATCACTGTAAGCCAGTGATGGTGAACCTTTTCAGCACCGAGTGCCCAAAATGGAAAGCGTATGAACGCCGGAACCCCAAAAAACTGAAGACCACCTGGTTTTCTGGTTTCCGGTGCACGCTGGCCATCTGGTCTTCTGGTTTCCGGCACATGCATGCACAGCGGCCAGCTGGTCTTCACGTGTGCTGGAGGCCTGGAAACCCAAAGACCAGGTGGCCAGCATGCGCATGCCAGCTGATCTTCGGGTTTCTGGGCCTCCAGCACATGCAAAGATCAGCTGGCCCAGAAGACTAACTGGCGATGACACACGTGCCCACAGAGAGGGCTCTGCGTGCCACCTCTGGTACATGTGCTATAGGTTTGCCATCATGGCTATAAACTGTCCCCCTCTTGTTTTCGGTTTAATTTATTTATTCAAATGAACAGTGGTGTTCTCCCTTTCATGAATGCTTACAAATGATGTCTATTAGTTGTTTTAGAACAAAATAAAAGGAAAAATCCCAGCTTAACAATTCTATTGTCCATGAACTTTGTCACAAGGAAAGGAAGGGGGAGAGGTTCTTTAGCACATTAACAGTACGTTAATACATACATTTACCACACAAGGTCTACTAGCTCAAAATGAATTCATGTTCCCTTCATGTTCTGAAAATTCCTGTTTATCTTTTCAGTTTGGTGTAGTATTGCTTAGTCCTAATCACAATTGGAATTTATGATATGAAGTAATGCTGTTTATGCCATATAAATGTTACATTTTGCATTTTTAGAAGATTATGTAAAGTGCAGATCATACAGAATCTCCATATAGGACATAGAATTTGCTATTCTACTTTATAAAAACAGTTGTGGGGACTAGGTGTGTATGTAAGAATCATGGGAAATGTTTCTTTACATTTACGTTAAAGTAATATCTAAGCAATTGTGAAACTTTAAATTTTAAAAAGAAGCTTATTTTCTGCTCAGTTTCCAATTTTGCTTTTTGGACATGGCATTTTAAATCGCATCATCTCAGCTATAGTGGTTTGGATGAAGGATGAAGCAAATTTATCTAAATCCAGTTCACACCTTCCTATGTGATAGTCTATCATTATGATTGACAGTATGTGTCACAAATTAAACTTGGGAAGCTCTCCACACAGTTGACAGAAAACCCAATTTTCTTGATTTATTTGAAGTAGCAATGTTTATCTTAATCCAAAGGCAATGGAACATGAAGGAAAAGGAATCTGCTTATTATGCCTAAACTAGATCTATGTCTCTGAGCTATGACAGGACTAGAAATACTCTTAGGCAACTTATTTAGCACAAAGAACAACCAAATGGATTAGACAGTATTTCAAAATTTCAAAACCCAGAGTTTTAAATAATAATAATTATTTCTGAATAACAAGAATCAGCCTATTACCTTGCTATTTAAATTGGGCCCAAATACTAGAAAAATTTCCCGGACAATGCTTGAATGCTTTACCATCTGCTTTTTTAGATGCAGTTTTAATACTGTAGTGACCTTTTTAATGAATACAATTTCTCTCTGTTGGTTCTAGAACTACTGAAATGAATGAGCTTATTAACCATTGTTATTTTTAAGAGTTACGTGAAATGACTTGGTTTTACATTTTACTGTCTCTTTTTGGACAGGAAAATGATAGTTATGTTTTTTTCCTGTTGTTATATAAATAAGGTAGTAAAGCAATAATAAAACCAACACAAATTATTGCAATTTTGCTATCATCTACAAGTTGGCTATGTATTCTGTGTCCATACTTCATACAGTTTAAGTATTGTATTGCTAGGATGGAACTGCTATAAAGTTACCAACTTGCTTATGAGCTCAATTAAAATCAGTACCAGGATTCATTTGCAACCTCTCTGTAATCACAAAATTGAATAATACTATTATCATATATACTGTATCATGTTCTTGCTAAAATAGTCATGGAAACAATTTAAATCAATATTTATATATATTTATATATTCAATTACCTTTGGTTTTTTGTTCAGCAGCCTGAAAAACAAAAACAATAAAATGATCAGTTAGTAGCCAGTTTTTTTATTGAAGACAACTGTGGGGGAAAAAATAACATATAGCTCTAACAATTAGTCACATGATCACCATGTTAATATTGTCTGGCAGGAACAAAGATCAGCAAAAGAACCCCTGAAGATGGTTTATTTTAATGTCAGCCCATATGATAGATAGATATAGAGATAGATATATAGCATTTTTACTTTTACTTTTGAACCCTTGTAATATGTAGAAATGGGATTTAGTGTCATGAGGACAAGCAAAATTTTATGTTGTTGACTCTTGACTCTCTAGCTTAGTGGTATATAACCTTGCATTTTTCAGAAACCTTTGAATGTAAACTTCACAAACCCAAGAATTAGGCAATTAGAAAACATCTGGTTGCACACCTTTCCTCCACCACATATATTTTATTCATAACTTCATTTAAAAAGCATAGGTTCAAAACATTTTTGTTACAAATAATGAAAGCAACACAGTAAACATGAGGTAATTTATACTGGCTCTAGTTTATAGTGATCAAAGTAACTTTGCTTTGCCACCAGAAAATATTGAATATACAGTATGTATGCTAAAGTGACATATTATGAAATACGACACTTTAATATATTTACATTGAACTCTTCAAATTAATTACACATATTTGAATAATTATACAAATTAAGTTATAAAAAGAATGTAGACTATCAATGATTTAATTAGTCTGGGTAATGAAATAGGTACATTAGTGGGTATAAACGTGTGTATATGTGTATACCTACATACAAAGTATCGTTTACAACCATTTTAAGGCAACACAGAAAGGATATAACTACTTAAGTATATCATGAATATTTGAGTTAATAAGTGATATTATTAATATTATAATGAGCATGATTCAGATAGTTTTAAATACACAAAGAACCTGAATGTCTTCAGGGTTCTGGATTCCCTCTGCTGCTTCAAACATCTCAAAATCATCATTACTGTAAATAGAACGCAGAACAATATTCTAAGAGAAGTCTGATGCCTTCTCTCTACCTGTCTTAAACTATTACATTTAAGGCTGTTTTAGATGTTCGATTTTATCATGAATTCTGAGGTAGGATCTGTTGTTAATCAACCAACTTCCAGTGTGCTGTTCTCCCATTGGGGCCACAAGCCAGGTCTTTAGGCACTTACGAAAGGATAGAAGGGTTGGGCAACCTCATATCAGGGGGACAAAATGTTCCATAGGACAGAAGCAGCAGCAGAGAAGGCCCTCATCCTAGACCCCCCCGCCCCACAAGCTGGAATAATCGAGCTGACAGGACCCACAGCATGCCTACTCTGCTGGCATGAGTGGGATGGGCCAATCCCAGTGTGGTGAGACAGTCCTATCCCTCAAAATGAAGGAAGGGTCTTGGCAAAATCTTTGCAGCATGTAAAATAGTGGAATAAAACTTGTTATTATAAAGAGCAATATTTTTAAAAGAGTAAGAAATTATTAATCCTTGCTTTTAATGAAAAGCAATCACTATAAAATTTTAAGTTATTGCCATGGTCCCTTCAGACAAATCTTCCTTAGAAAGGGGAGAGAGGGAGAGAGAATGAATATGAACTGAGAAAAATGCCTCTCAAGTAGTGTTCATGTTCAGCTCTGAGACGCTGATGGACTCATTCTGAAGTGATCCTGACAATTCAGTATTTAACTCTGATCCCAATATAGACACACAGAATTCAAGCTTGCAAGAATGTCAATGTCAATGTCAATTCAATTCTAAATGGCAAATAAAGGAAGGAGTGCAGGGGCGCTTGGTAAAGTACATTGGGAATAAGGATCTACTTGGCAGTTAAGATCTACTCAATAATAGGTGATCAGTTTTAAGTAGCTGATTTCTTCAACTAGCTTTAATCAGCCAAACTGGAATGTGAATGAAGTTCAAGTTTTTCTAATATTTAAACTTTTTCTGAGACCAGTCAAATATCAAAATATATTTATAATAGTTTAATTTCCAGACTTGGCTTGAAGTACAACTTTCTGAAAAGCCTAATCTCTGACTTGATCTGACAATTTTACCATTAACACTACATTTTGTTGACTTAAATCCTGAACTAGACAGAAACCACGCTATTGTCTGTAGTAAGTATTATTTGACTCTTGGTTGCATGACTCCAATTCTTATCCATATTGTGTGAACCTGTAAATGGGATTGACATTTTTAAAAATCTTAGCAGATATATACCAGACATTTTGTAGAAAATTATGGTTTCCGGCCCTCAAATCAAAGTATAGTAGTGCCTTTAGAGCCGAGGTGGCGCAGTGGTTAGGGTGCAGTACTGCAGGCCACGTCAGCTGACTGTTATCTGCAGTTCAGCGGTTCTAATCTTACCGACTCAGGGTTGACTCAGCCTTCCATCCTTCCAAGGTAGGTAAGATGAGGACCCAGACTGTGGGGGCAATATGCTGACTCTGTAAACCGCTTAGAGAGGGCTGAAAGCCCTATGAAGCGGTATATAAGTCTAACTGCTATTGCTATTGCTAACACTTAGGGATCGTGGCACGACAAAACCGCGTTCGTCAAAATAGCGGTGATAAAACCGCGTCGCTAAAGCCGCGACGTCATCACCGCGACGTCATCACCGCCGCGACAACAGCGCGGCGACAGCAGCGCGGCGGCAGAACGGCGCTTTAAAACAGCGCGGCGGCAGAAAGCCAATTTAAATTAAGGTAAGGGTTAAGATTAGGTTTACGGGTTTGCTTTAGGGTTAGGGTTAGGTTAGGGTTAGGTTTAGGGTG